TGAATTGTAGCTATTTACTTTTCAAGCTGTTGGAATTGTGCTCTTTAGCAAAACAGACTATTCTCCGGAAATTTATTTTTCTATCACATGGAGAAGACGAGTAGATGCATAAATGTATATAAATAGTTATATGACGTTTCTTTCACTGCCTGAAGAAAGTGCAACAGTGTTTGTAAGAAAATTACATTTGCTGCCTAAAACCTAGTGAGACTTACAAATGACCTTTCCCCCCACCCTCAAATCACTGTAATAGCTTCAACGCCAGCCATTTGCGATACAAAATATATCCATTTTACCAGGATGATTGAAGTGCCACATGCATGTTGAATTTCACTTTGTTATCTGAGTACATTGTTCTTCACAACTTTCCTGTCTGTTTTGAGTATATGGTATATGATACCAGTCGTAAGCCAAAACGCAGAGGTTGTAGGATGAAGCTGCATCTGATTGTATCAGCAGCAAGTTCAGGGCAGCGCTTGTTAGGCAGTCTTACTCAAGCAGCAACTACATTTCTAGTAGTGACTTTCATTTTTCTAAGCCCTTTTTATAGTACCTCCCTTGACAGCATTTACTTTTGCAATGTTCAGTCTGGCTTTAGAACATATTGATCATTCAGTGATCTTAAATTTAATTATAGGTTGGTAATTGCAACCACATTTAGTTCCTGTCCCACTCCTGTAGGTTTGATTATGCAATCAAATTAAAAACTCATCTCCTCTTCTGCTGTCTAGAGCCAGCAAATCAGTTCTTTGTGGTATTTTGATATCTTTCTTCATATATGGCCAAACATAGCCAGTTTTTACCAGAGTAGATGAAATAATTGCCTTTGTTCTAGTAGGCTTTATTGCTTCTTTGATTTCTCCCAGCATTTTGTGTTTATCAGGACACTCGGAACTGCAGGCTTATAGCACTATTATGTTAATATAATCTTCTGATAAAGGAACGGTATTCAAACAATCATGCAGATTCCACTTCTATGCCCATCCTTTCAATATGAGCTAATTATTTCTGTAGCCTCTGTAAAATCTTACTTGTAACAATAGCCGTAAGTAAACTTGCAAGCCTCTGCAATACAGCTCAAAGCCGTGAATTGGTTCTCTAGTTTCTGATGCGTTATAAGAAATATGATACTATCATTCCTCTTTTGGTAATTTCACTTCCTTATGTGATTTATTAGGACCCACTGCCCATAATTTGTATTTTAGGGCTGCCTCTTGCAAAACCAAACTACATGAAGCTGACACCTAACCTCAAAAACTTGTGCTGCTTTGTTTTGCTTCATAGCCAATGTTCTGTAAGCATTAGTCTGAAAATGTGAATAAGATTTAGGTATTAATCAAGAGCACTTCCTTTCTTATATTGTTTTAGGATTGCCTGCACAAATGAAACTTTGAATATGTTAGGAGTTTTATTCAGCACAAGAAATTAAGGGATTTGGTGATTTAGCCAGTAACCTAGCAGAAGCCACCGAGAGTTGGAACTAGGATAAACTATAGCCCTTTTCTAAGGACCAAAACAGTATGAACCAGAAGTGATTTGACACTAGTTTGCAAATAGTCTTTGGTAAGAAGATTAAATGCTGAAGAATTAAGCAATTATTGTTTGGAGAATGTATCTAGTTCTGTGATGCTGCATGCAAAATAATGAAAACATCTGTTTTATTACACACATTTTTCATTCTTCAACAATTGATTTCAAATATTGATTTAACAGATAGTGTCTTAGAAAAAGAATTAGGAGACAGAGCGGAGCCAGATTACGGTAAGAAATTTTGAAACATTAAATTGAGTTGCAATGGTAAATACGTAAATATAAGGATAGCCTACAAGCACCTCCAAAATTACTCGAGTTTAACAGGCATAGTTTAGAACTGGAACATATGAAAAATGAATCCTTTAGAGAGCCTTAGCTACAAATATATGGCTGTTGTTCAGAATAGCACTGCTCATAATTCTTGTTCCAGATTTAATCCAAATTTTGCAATAAAAACCTATTTACATGTTTATATCCAGCAGTTCAATCAATCCTGAAAATGTTTATTTTTCCAATATAAATTAAGATGTAATTACTATTAATTTATTTAACAACATAACAGCCATATTTTGTACTCACTGTTTTCATAAAATGTCTGATATCCTTTTCAGGTATTTTTCCAACGGTGCCAGCAGGAAATCCTTATGACACAAGCAAACCAGAAGATCAGTATCACGTTATTGCTACTGAAACAGGTAATGTGTTCATACAAATTTAGTGTTCTGGTAAAAATATTAACAGCGGACTCAATTAAATTAATCTTTAACAATTTCCATTATTGTCAGTGCGAGGAAGCAGTCTATTTCCCCAGGAAGTGCCCTGAAAAAGTATACTTTTGAATAACATTTCAAGAGTTTTAGTCAGTCCTCTTTGTAACTGTGGAAACAAATAATTTCCATGTCTCCCCAAACTTTGATCCAAATCTACAGTTTAGCAGTCCTTGAAATCTGCACCGTTGTCTGACCCTGGTGAGTCTCTGTCAGGATGCAAGATTTCACCAGTGTTTACCCAGCTGTGGAGCATCTTCTTCTAGGCTGTGGTAACCAGTGCCTTGCCTCTCTCTATCTCCTCCCAACCTCTTCCCCAACATATGTAACAAACATACGATGCCTATATTATCTTTTATATCTGATACCCGGGGCTCACAAAAAAGGCACAAATTAATCTTTCCTAACAGGTAGGAAATTCTGCTTATTTGCAGAATAAGCACTGTGCCATAGCTCCTCCAAGTACCCTGGATTTTAAGGAACACCACGTCCTAAGAGGAGTTAAATGCTTTCCTGAGATTTCTAGCAGATATGGCTCTTGATATTTTGAAAACAGATACCCACTGCCTAGGAGCTTGTTGTAATGCTCCTAGCTACTTCATTTCACAATTTATGTCCTGAACAGAGTCCTGTGATTCATGAAGAGTTGTAGCATGGCCTTAATTCAAGGAATTGAACATGAGCAACTCAGGATCTTACAGGACTACAGCGTGGGGTTATGGAAAGCCGGCACTCCCTTTCCACGCTTGTTGGCTGGATTTGAGCCATTTTCCTAACTGATGTTCCTGTTGTTTGTAACTCTGGAGGAATGGATATACTGATGAACTGTATTTTGAAATCAATAATACTATTTATACAAACCATGCAAAGACTCTGTATCTAAAACTCATAAACAAACCCAACCTGAATATTCACATTTATTCTTGCTAGTGAAAATATGTTCAAAAGAGGACAATGGGTAAGAAAGTCTCCTCAATTTGTACATTAAATGTATACCATTATAAAACATGGGCATATATTTACTGAAAAACAGGCAGGCCCTTTCTGGAAGTTGTAGTCCCCATCCTCTATTCTAGGCAGATAATAGAGTCTCAGCTTGTACCATTTCCCACTCCTTTTGCCCAGAGACCCGCAGGGGAGCGCCTTTAGCTCTCTCCTCATTAGTCAAGGGCAGTGTATCTTTGTCTTTTAAGGGGAATGGGGAGAGAAGAGCAGGGTTTGCTCCTCTTGTGGTCCCGCATGGCTGGGAATCCAACATGCAAGGGCAACTCAGTAGACAGGTTTATATGGACTGTAAAAATATTAGGCTGTGAAATGTACTCTATTTAAATATTTGAATTTTCAATTACAAAATTGGAAATCTCGCATTGATGCACATATAAAATGTCAGAATTTAAGTCCTTAAGGTATGTTTTGCACATCGCTGGAGAAGTACTATTTTATTCTTGATATTGCTAAGTCATCTTTTTGGAGCTCTTCCTATAGAAGGAATGTATAAATGTTCTTTTGTGTAAGTTAATGTATTGCTGATATTTTACTCCGGATTTTTACTCACGTGGTTAAGAGTATTTCAACATGGGAGACATTAATGAGAACTTTTTGTCTTGTAGGTATCATTCCAAATCTGATTTATGTCATAATACCCACTATACCACTACTGCTGTTGATACTGGTGGCTTTTGGGACTTGCTGTTTCCAGATGCTTCATAAAAGGTAAAATGTACTAATCCAAAATGGTCTTATAATGCAGAATTCATGTTTCCATTGGCAAGCTATTCATACTGGAAGACTGCTTACATCTGCCCCCATATATGCAAATAAGCATCCTTTCATCTATTAAAATCCAAGTAGTTTACAGCTGAACATTCACCATCAGGCTTTTCCACAATGCACTAAAATGGTTCCAGGTCTCTCAAAGTATATTGCCACTAGGACTTCATCTGTTTCTGAAGAAGATATCTTTTGCATTTGATAGGCTGAGCTACTGGCAGCACTTTTACTTCACCTCTCCCATCATGATTACAACCTATACAGCATCCGGGCTTTGGGGAATAATACTGGGGTCCTCTCTGATAGAGGGCAAACTCAAGGACTCACCTCAGTTTCTGACCAAAAGTGCAGTTTGTTCCAAGGATAAACCTGAGGAGTCAGTAGCTGTTTAATGCTGTTTCAGTGCACGTCTTATACGTACAACAGATGAGCCACTGGAGCAGACAAATTGAAAACAAAAGGCAAAACCATGTTTTGAGCCACACGCCAGTGCAACTCCTTTGTACATCATGTATCTGTCAAAGAAGATGCATAAAGTAAATAGGCGTGTACACAGATGAATTATCAAACAGTTGTGTTATTATGCAAATAGGAAACATTTCAGCCTATGAAACAGGATATGTTTTGATCCATGCTTTAAAAATTCTTTGGACTTTTTATCTGTCTTAAAATGTGGTATACCAAGATATGACAACTTTTTTTTTTTTTCTTGAGCTAATCTTTGTGAAAATTTCAGGGATATCTTTCATTCTGCAGGTTTTTTTCAGGAAGAGTTCTCAAGTTAATGTAATCCAGAATGGTTTAAACTGAAATATGTTTTATGGATAAACGCTATTTTGGTAAAGTAGCAATAGTAATAAACAGATTCGGAAGCTGTTATCCCTCTTGAAGAGCAGGAAT